AAAGGCCAGGGGATGCCAGGCAGAGGTGCAAGGACAGTGCTGTGGAGGAAGAAGGTGACAAGGCTCGCAGCATGGTTGAATCCAGAGAGGAAAAGGAGGGGCCCTCAGTCGCTTTAGACCGGGCTTACCGAGGGGCCAGGGTTGTGATCAAGGTTCAGAGAGAGGCAGGAAGAGGACGACATATTTTGGGGTTCACCCTCTGTGGGGGAGAAGTGGCACTGAGAGTCCACACTGGGGCCTGGGCTTGAAAAGTTAGAGGGGCAGGCCTGCCGTGCTGTCCACAGGCCCAGGGCACCTCCCGTGGGCGTCTGCAGCTTTGTGAGGACACTTCTGTAGTCATGCTGGCCCACAACAGACTCAGCTAATCATGACAATCTTCTCCAGTGATGAAAACAGTGACAGGAAGTAGGGAAGCCTTGCTCGAATCTGCACAAATATGCTTCATGGGCCAACAGCAAGCAGCTCTGGACTTCTAACTGTAACTTCCTTTATTTAAATTTTGTTTGTTTCTTGTGTTATAGAGTCCACACTGGCCTGAAACTCATAGAGATCTTCCTGCCTCTGCCTACCAGATGCTGGGATTACAAGTGTGCATCACCACACCTAGGCCTAATTCTAATTCTATTATGAGCTTTAGATGTTCTTGGTATTTTCAGGTGGAGAGGCCTTGAAAACCACATACAGGAAGGAAATCCTATGAGCAAAACCAAGAAAGAACAGGAAAGCAATATATGACAAAATTCTGGATCTGAGAGGGAAACTTGGGCGGGGGGAGGTCCCCAAGTCTAAGAAATGCAAGTGAACCAATGTTACTATCAAAAAGAGAACTTAAGATGAAACAGGAAGCAGGTTGCGTAGCTGTCTTACTCTATGAGCCATCAGCAGTTCAAGCAGAAATGCAAGTTAATCTGATTCACACCTAGCAGTAAATCTGACAAGAAAAGAAAAAGGATAAGAAGTGAATGAAGGACATGAAATCAGACCTAAATGAATAACCAAACAGATCATATGCTGCGGTGCTGGCTGGGAAGAGTAGTACAAAGATGGCAAGCCACCCTCAGACTGAATGCATGGGCACAGCGCACCTGCTGGGGCGCCTGGGGCTTCTTCCTGAGGGAGGCAGGGCTGGGGCACCGGTCACCTAGATTCTATGTCTGCCTATTGATTACAGCCTGGGGTAGCAGCAGGTGGTCTCGGGCTCTGCTCCAGGCAACCTGGGCCACACAGAGCTCCCAGGTGTGTCGCTGGCCAAATCTCCGGGCCCCGTACCTGGGGCTCAGGCAGTGTCACAGTGTAGTTACGGGCCATCTGCAGCTCACAGTGGGCAGTAAACGGGCTCAGGAGTGCACGAACAGGCCGTGGCCCCTCTCATGTGATGGGGAAGGAGGGCAGGACTAGTGAGAAAGGCCGGGATTTTGGTCTCCCTGTGTACTTAGTATGTTTTTAGGAAACAGCTCTGCTGCAGGGCACAGTGGTACATGTTTGTAATCCCAGTCACTCAGGAGGCCAAGGCAGGAGGATTTTGAGTTCAAGATCAGTCTAAGCTACATAGCAAGTTCATGACAAGCCTGGGCACTATAGCAAAATCCCATCTAAAAAAAAAAGTATCTTTATAGGAGGTCCACCCATTTAAAATGTACAAATCAGGATACAAAATCAATGCACACACACACAAAATCAATCATGTTTCTTTTTTTAATCTTTATTTATTTGGAACAGGGTCTCACTGTGCAGCTGGGACTCAAGTGATCCTCCTGTCTCAGCCTTGTCAGTGCTGGGATTACAGGCGTGTGCCACCATTCCAGGTTTTGGTGGCCAGCAAAGCATGTGGTACTGGGGGTCAAACCCAGGTCCTTGTGTTTGCCAGACAGGCACTTAGACTTTCAAGCTATCTCCCTAGCCCACAAACATGTTTTTGTATATCAACAATGAACGCACTGAGAATGAAAGTAGGAAAACCATACCATTCACAATAGCTTAGAGAAAAGCAAATACTTAGGAGTTAGCCTAATAAAACAAGTACAAAACCTCTATAATAAAAAAGTATAGGATTCTGAAAAAGGAGATCAAAGAAGACATCAGAAAAT